AAAGATAAGGTACTTTTATACTTGGAATTTCTATTATATTTCATATCTTGGGTTTTTCATTAAAGAGCCAGCTCACCCCAAGGTATTTTTGAAATAGTTTTATTCCATCTGATGCTCATAAAGTGTTCATCGTTCTCTTTCCTAGACATTAAGGAAGTGGATGATCATGTGCAGTTGCAATGGCAAAACCAAAATATGCTGAAGTGTTATGAAGAGAATGTATTTGGGAATATTATTCATCAGAGCAGAAGTTTTCCTTTAAGGTCAAACCATGATGTATTTGATTTACACAGGAAAACTCTGAAATCATATTTAGACGTAACTAACCAGAATAGAAGCTGCAACAAAAAGGAACCTGCTGAATTTAATGGGGATGGGAGATCCTTGCTCCATGCTCATCATGAACAAACTCATACTGAAATTGAACATTAGGAAATACACAAAACAGGGAATGCCCATGAATGTACTGAATATGGGAAAGTCTTCCTCAAGAAGTCTCAGCTCAATGAACATAAAAGAATTCACACAGGAAAGAAACCCCATGGATGTAGTCTGTGTGGGAAAACATTCTTTAAGAAGTTCAAGTTCACTGAACATCCGCGAACTTACATAGGAAAGAAACCCCATGAGTGTTGTGAGTGTGGAAGAGCCTTCCTCAGTAAATTTCAGCTTACTGAACATCAGAAGACACATACAGGAAATAAACCCCATATATACAGTATATGTGGGAAAGCATTCTACCGAAAGTTCAAGCTAACTGAGCACCAGAGAACTTATACAGGAGAGAAGGCCTACCAATGTACTGAATGTGGCAAAGCTGTCTTTGGAAAGGCAGAGCTCACTATACACCAACAACACAAAAGAGGAGAAAAACCCCATGTACGCAGTGAGTGTGGGAAAGCTTCCTCCAGAAAACCATAGCTCATTCTGCATCAGAAAATCCATACAGGAGCAAAATCTTATATATGCAGTGAGTGTGGGAAAGGTTTCATACAGAAGGGCAATCTCCTCATACATCAACTAACTCACACTGGGGAGAAACCCTATGGATGCACTGAATGTGGTAAGGCCTTCAGCCAGAAGACATGCCTCATAGCACATCAGTGATTCCATACAGGAAAGACTTCCTTTGTATGTACTGACCGTGGAAAATCTTGTTCGCAGAAATCAGGACTCATTAAACCTCAGAGAATTCACACAAGAGAGAAATCTTATGTGTGCAGTGACTGTAGGAAAGCCTTCACCACAAAGACAATGCTCATTGTCCACTGGAGAACTCACATGGGAGAGAGGCCCTATGGATGCAACGAGTGTGGGAGAGCTTTCTCCCACATGTCACGTCTGGTTAAACACAAGAGGACATACACAAGAGAGAAACAAGTAGATTCCGTGAAGGTGGAATATCCTTTCACAAAGGGACACAGCTTCTTAGATACTAGAGAACTCTTGCAGGGGAAAAACCCTGTTAATATAGTGACTGTGCAGATGCCTTCTGTGACCCTTCAGACATCATTACACATCAGTGGACTCCTAGCAGGTAGGGATGTAGTCCTGATGGAACAGCCAGCTGCCAGATGTGCACCCTGAGGAAATACCAGAGAGCTTGTGCAGGAGAGAAAGGTTTATGGATGCCATGAATGTGGTTATGCCTTGAGTGGTCAATTACATCTTATTTTATGTCATGAAAAATACATAGGAAAAAAGTGGTGCATTCTATTTGGAAAAGCCTTGGGCCATAATGTATAGCTGATTGCATGGTTATATGTAAACAGGAAGCTTGTGAATGCAGAAGTTAGAAAAGCTGTGTTTTGGAAGAAAGACCCTATCATCAGTGATTACCATTAGTCATAGGTGAGCTTATAGTGGGTAAAAAATATGAGAGTGGTAAAACCCTTGCCCTCAATAGGTATCATTACATACTAGAGAGAAACTGAAGGCAGTGAATGTGGCAAGGTTTTCAGTGGTACATTCTGCCTCATCCATCAGCTGGTGAAATCAGACACAAAACACTGTGAGCATACTACTTGACGAATATCTTAATTAGTTCTTGTGAGGCAAAGCCCGTGAAAATGAGGGGTATTTGAGAGCTTTATGTACCATTTCCCACTTTAATGCATTACATAATATACCTGATGTACATTTTTGGACAGGAAACCTGGAACCATATTCTTAGTTACTATGCTTAAAAGTGAAAATGTTAGTCACTCAGTCATGTCTGACTCTTTGTGACCCCATGGACTGTACCTGTCAGGCTCCTCTGCCAAAGAATTCTCCAGGCAAGAATACTGGAGTAGGTTGCCATTCCATTTGCCAGTGGTTTGACCCAGGGATCAAATTAGGGTCTCCTGTATTGCTGGCAGATTCTTTCCTGTCTGAGCAACCAAGAAGCCTGGTTACTATGCTTATGTTTCCAAAATTTTAAGGAGATAATCTATCTTACATCACAGGTTATATTCATTTCTTATATTCATTCATTTCTCCCAACTGAAAAAAATTATCTTCAACACCCACCCAGTATATGATAATTAGCTGCTACATTTCTTTGACTCTAAACTTATTTAAATATTATTTCAGACAATTGAATTCTCTAATAAGAAAAATGAATATTCAGGTCATAAATGAAATTTAATGTCCTTGGATGAGCTTAACTTCAACTGATAAATAAGACCAAGCATTATACAACAAAGGTCACCTTAAATGTGATTTTTAAGATTTTCTAGACTTGAAAAGGTAGTGAAAGGAAGGTTTGCAAGGTGAACTGAAAGCCCAAAGACAATTAGTAATTTAAACCCATAAATTAGATAATAAAATACACTGCAACACAGACCTTGGTTTGTTTTTTTTTTTTCCTTAAAACATGAAAAGATGGGCAATCTGAACACAAATTAAGATTGCTTCTCTCCTAGCTCTCCCCTTCTCTGATTATCCAGATTATTCTCAGGATCCTGGGAATATGAAAGTCTACACTGGTTAACTCAGCTGCATTCTTCCTTCTGGACATAGTTTCCTAACCCTATCTTTTGTCTCACTGATGGGATGGAAACAGATGTCAGGAAAAAAGGTGGATGGTTCCATTTCCTCCTAACTCAGGCACTCTTGAGTCCAACATGTTTGGGAGTCACACGAGGAAGAAAGAAGTAGATTTCATAGAATCAACTTTGGCCTGTTACCTCATTCTCCACAGAGCTGGAGAGACTGAATCAGATTGGGAATGAGTTGAGGAGCCCTGCAAGAGTGGGCTGAATCTGGTTCTAGACTAGAATACTACAGGCCTTTAACCAATCTGGCAAATGTTTTCCGAATCTCTATAATCATTGAGCTGTAGCCAGAAGTAATGTCAGTAGTGACTGGCGTAAGGCTCAGGCCAAGTCTACTGCTGGAAAACTGGGTTTGAGGAAGGGCATTATGTCAGGTCCCTTAGGGAGAAGCTAGTGGTAGAGGCATGTAAGTAGACGAGATATCTTAATGGCATTGTAAATGTTTTTTGAAAACTAACACATGATGTGAAAACTTAAGACTCACTTGGAGTGAACATCTCAATTGTTTTCTTAAGGGTTTTAATGTGGAATATATGAAGATCTTAGGTCATACATAAACATTCCTGTATTACACTGCTCTGGGTGCCATACCGAAATACCAGCATAGGTGGCTTAAACAGAAGTTAATTTTCTCATAGTTCCAAAGACTAGAAGTCCAAGGTCAAGGTTCCAGCAGATACAACTGGAGCAGAGCCCCACCCTTACAACTTCATTTAACCTGAATTACTTACCTTAGGAGTCCCATCTCCAAATAGAGCCACAGTGGGTTTCAGGGCTTCAGCATGTGAATCTGAGGGGACACAAACATTTAGTCCTTAAAATTCCACCACTGGCCCTGTCCCCTCCATTCATGCCCCTCTTGCATGCAAAATACATACATTTCATCCCAATAGCATCCCAATAGCCCCGTGGATTAACTCTAATCCAGGACTTCCCTTGTGGTTCAGTGGTTAAGAATCCACCTGCCAATGCAAGGGAAATGGGTTTGACCCTTGGTCCAGGAAGATTTCACATGCCTATGGCAACTAAGCCTGTGTGCCACAACTACCGAGCCCACATACTGCAACTAGATAAAGCCCCTGCCCAGCCAGGAAGACCCAACACAGCCAAAAACAAATACCTTAAAAAAAGTCTATATCCAAAGTCTCATCTGAGCCAAATATAGGTGAGACGTGATGTACTATTCACCCTGAGGAAAAATTCCTCTCCATCTTTGGACCCGTGAAACCAGGTAAGTTATGTTCTTCAAAAATACAATGGTGGGACAGAGGTACAATACATACTTCCATCATAAGACAGATAAATCATAAGGAAAAACGAGTGACTGGTCCCAAGCAAGTCCAAAAGCTAGAGAAACAAATTCCATTAAATCTTAAGGCTAATGTCTTTGGTTCACTGCTCTGCCCTCCGGGTACTGTTGATCACGTTGCAGATAGGAATCAAAACTCTCACTATAATGAGGAAGACAAACCAACAACTTTCCTTTTACATTCTGTACACCAGTACTGAGACAGGCTGGGACCCAGGACACTTTGCTGCAGTGCCTGCACCTGGACAAAGGGCCCATCCAGAATATAGAGGAACTATAAGGGACTAAAATAACTGCCTGGCATAGGCAATAGGGGCAAATTATGAACAAGATACACAAAGACCCAAACCCAACCGCTACTTCTGAGGTACTGCGAGCAAAAGCAGGATCCTATGTGTGCTCCCTGCAAACAGCCCTAAAAGGAATGGGCAGATCACCCAAGCTACCCCTCCCCTGGACCTGCCCTACCCTCACACCATTTAATGCACCAGCTCACCACCTGTCCCCTAGCAAGAAAGGGTACCTGTTACTTGTTTTCGTGTCCTCCTGCTACAGCACCAGGCCCAATAAAGCCTTGCCTGAATTTATCTGGCCTCTTACCAATTTCTATTGGTTAGAGTCCAAGGACCCTGGTCAGTAACAGAACGTACAGCTCAAAAGAACCATGCTATTTTTCCTGAATTTATACCTTTTATATTTCCAGCACCCCAGATCCCTGTTTGCCACAGAGTATGCATTTTATAAACATCTGCTGGGTCAATAAATAAATGAGTAACCCCTTTAGCTCGAAAGTTCTCTGAACCGAGTTGTATGATTACAGGGCTGTTGTTTATCGCTACGTCGTGTCCGACTCTTTCGCGACCCCATGGATTGTAGCCCTCCAGGTGCCTCTGTCCATGGGATTTCACAGGCAAGAATCCTGGAGGGGGTTGCCATTTCCTTTTCTGACCTTCCTGACTTAGGGAGCGGTGCTTCATCAGTTGCGTCACAATACTCAACAGAATAACTTCCCTCAGAGCTTTTGATTCAAGTATTTCTTACCTTTGTGCAAGTAAAATCTTACCCCATCTTTGGCTAGTCCCACTGTGGAAGGGGGAACCACGCTTCTCCGCTGGCTTTGCCCCGATCAAAAGTGTTCCCCATTTCCCTCCACACCACTCATTACAAGAGCTGTATAATCCCGCCGTTTTACCCACTCTCAGACCTGTGCCCTCCTGAACGGTTCTCTAAACCCTACAACACCCTCTCCAGTCCGCATTCCTAGAATACTACTCGGTTCTCCTTCAATTGTTGCTAGGTTTGGTTTGGGATCCCTCCCTGTTGGGTTTCTTTGAAACGGTCGCGCTTCTTAGCTTCTCCTTATCTTTCAAATCAAATGGCCTTCACGTCCGCGAACATCCCTGTCCAGCCTGCAGAGATCCAGGTACCCTTGAGTTTCTGAGAAGCTAAGCGTTTGCTGCAGCGCCCCTGGCGAATGTTGCAAAGTCATGGCCCAACGAGTCAGGTGGGCTGAAAATAGGGTGAAATAAGTCCTTTTCGATAGCTTCTCATCATTTTACACCTTCCCGCGAAAGGAAGAAAAACAAAGCCCTCATCTGTCAAACGGAGCTACGCGGAAAAACAGCTACTACTGGTAAAGAGCCGCGAACCCGGCGTGGAAATATTGCGTCATCGAAAGATCGCGAGAAGCCAGGATCCGGGTCTCTGGAACCGCTGCTTGTGAGCCTCTTCGGCCGCCATCCTTTCATCTTCCAGCGGTCGTGTCTGCTTCAGAGGGTGGTCGCCTGGTCTTTAAAACAGCTGTTCTGTGATTTGCCTCCAGCAGTGAAGACAGAAGGCATCCATCAGGTCAGTGTTGAGTTCTGGGTGTGTTTCAGGGCCAGGGAGAGCGCCTGAGGGTGTTTGTTGTTGTTGTTCCAGATTGCGTAGGGGTAGGCGTTGGGGTGAAGCGAGCGGTCTTGCAGCCTGCTGCCTTTTGTGTTTGTGGACCAACTCGGGGATTCGTGTTGAGAGTTTTACCTGGTGGGGGAGCACACGGGTTACTGTGTTGGATCTGTAGCCTAGCTGGACGCCACCAGGCCTTCCTGGCACAGGCCTTCCCTCATATTCTCTGCTTCAGTTCCTCTCTGAAGTACCTAGATAGTAGTATTTGATGTACATTTCATGAGTTGTTTTGCAGAGGTTAAAAAGAAAAAAACCTCCCCCTCTCCAACAAAGAAGAAGATATTAATAAGCTATTTAGTGAGGTAGAGCACAGAACCCCAGGCCTCCTGCAACCTAAGGACTGATACCATTAACCCCTGTGAAACCACCCTGCTACCTCACTATTAGCCAATTAAAGAATTGTGCACAAGCTGATCTTAGATCCTGAGAACCCCATCCCTCACCTGGCTTTTAAAAGTGCTTTGCCAGATCCCTTCAGGGAGTTAAGGGCTTTTTAGGGCAAGAGCCGTCTTGTCTCATTGCAAGGCCTTGATATAAACCTTTCTCTGTTCCAGACTCCAACCTTTCAGTTTGTTTGGCTTTGCTGTGTCTTGAACATGATTAACAGCAGGACAAATTGGGAGGTCTTTGCTGGAGAGTAACATTTGGGATGTCTGGTTGGGGGATTGAACTCGTGTCCACGTTAGGGATAGTATTTGGGCAGCTTATTGCATGTTTAATTTTAGATGTGGAGTTTCTGGTCTTGCATCCATGTTTATTGTATATTCCTATTGAAAATATGTTTTCAGGTTCATCCTAAAATCAGAGCTTCCCTGGTACACAGCAGTAAAGAGTCTGCCTGCCAATGCAGGAGACCGAGGTTCGATCCCTGGGTGGGGAAAATCCCTTGGAGAAGGGAACGGCAACCCACTCCAGTATTCTTGGGCTTCCCTTGTGGGTCAGCTGGTAAAGAATCCGCCTGCAATATGGGAGACCTGGGTTTGATCCCTGGGTTGGGAAGATCCACTGGAGAAGGGAAAGGCTACCCACTCCAGTATTCTGGCTTAGAGAATTCCATGGACTGTCGCAAAGAGTTGGGCACAACTGAGCAACTTTCACTTTCCAGTATTTTTGCTTGGGAAATCCCATGGACAGAGGAGCCTGGCAGGCTACAGTCCATGGGTTGGCAAAGAGTCAGACACGACTGAGCAACTAACACGCTTTAAACAATCCTCCAGAAGGCAACTCTTGTTAAAGTTTAGTATATTTCATTTTTAGCGTAGGGATCAGGTGTGTAGGTATTGGTATGATTTTATACATTTTAATCTGACATCCTATCATAACCATTTGAAAGTTTTATTTCCTTTTAAAAAAACTAAAAAAAAAAAAAAAACGAAAAAACTATTGCAGTTGTGTTCCATCAAGTGGGTATTTTAATTTGAGAAGAAGCGATACAGATGTAGGTACTACACTTTTAGGAACGTGTAAATGGATTCCTTTTAACTCAAGTTTTTTTGTTTCTTTGATGAGCTGTGATTTTTTCTATATGTGTTTTGGACATGTTTTATTATGTTTGTTTGTAAATGGGTTATACTTTTGTTGTAACTGTAAATAGTGTCATTTTTTTTCCTGTATGACCCCGCTCCCTCTTTTTTGTCTCTTCTAATTTTATGTAATGCACAAGAGCAAAAATTTAAAAGATATACTTATTTTGTCACCTCATTCCACTCATGATATTACTAATTGATTCCTTCAAATTGATTTCTTTATGTTTTCTAGTTGAGCATCTTTGTCATCTGCAAATAGAGTTGGCCAGGTGGCAAGTTTATGGACTGGAGTAAGAAAAACCTGCTTCTCCCTCTGACTTGGGTAGGTTAATCTCTGAGTCAGGCTTCATCAATTGTGAAAAAAGCTGTCATGATTCCCATTTTCATAGCTGTTAGAAAGATGAAATGAGCAAAAGTTCTTTGAGTACAAAGCATAGTATTTATAGTCTGAATAAATGGTACCTGCACTTTATTAAGTTATTAATCTTTCTCAAAGGCTTCCCACCCACTTTATTGAGATGTTATTGACATAGAACATTCTGTAAGTTTAAAGGTGTACAGTTGTGTTTATTTAATACACTTACATATTGCAAAATGATCACCACCATAAGTTAGCCAACATCTGCATCATGTGACATAATTACCATTTCTTCTTAGTGGTGAGAACACTGAAAATCTACTTTTTTTTTAATTAACTTTCAAGTGTATGTGTTTAGTTGCTCACTCATGTCCGACTTTTTGTGAGCCCATAGACTGTAGCCCACCAGGCTCTGCTCTCCATGGGGATTCTCCAGGCCAGAATACTGGAATGGGTTGTCATGCCCATCTCAGGGATCGAATCCAGGGTATAATACAGTATTTAACTGTAATCACCATGCTGTACATTACAGTCCCCTCAAAAGGCTTTTTAATTTTATTTTCATTGATAATTTCTCTCTCTCTTTAAAATTTTCTTTATGTTGCAAGATTTCTCAATATTTTATATTCCTGGAAGAAACCATACCTGTTCATAATGATTTGTTCTTTTAACATGGGACTGAATTCTGTTTGCTTATATTTTGCCAAATATTTTTGAACCTAGAAATCAAAAAGTGTTTTGGATTTGCTTCAGAATAATCCAGTGGTGCTGGGGGTGTAGATAAAACAAATTAGATTTGAGTTGATAGTTGTTGAAGTCACACGATGGATGGATGTGTGGAGTTTGATTATGCTGTTCTTTTTTTTTTTTTAAATGTTCTTTATCTATGGCTGCACTGGGTCTTCATTGCTGCACACGGGCTTTCTCTGGTGTGGCAAGTAGAATCTGCCATCTAGTTGTGGTGCACGGGGTTTCTCACTGAGGTGGCTTCTCTTGTCACAGAGCACGAACTCTAGGCACACGGGCTCAGAAGTTGGTGTGCCTGGGCTTAGTTGCCCCAAGGCATGTGGAATCTTTCTGGACTGTGGATTGAACCCATGTCCCCTGCATTGGCAGGCAGCCTCTTAAGCACTGAACCACCAGGGGAGTCCCTGAGTATACTGTTTTCTATGGGGGTTTTTTGTACCTGAGGTTTAAATTACTGTTCCTTCTTTTGCTTGAAATTTAAAAAAAAGATTGTGAAAATGTATAAGTGAAACTGATCTGTATTTTCTTTAAAAGCTTTTTTCAAGTGTAACACCCAAAATTAAAGACTAGAATATTAGAGAAATAAAAACCAAATAAAAAAAGAAGAGAATATTATAGGGACTTCCCTGGCAGTCCAGTGGTTAAGACTCTGCCCTACCACTACAGAGGCATGGGTTCAATTCCTGGTATCCCTGCTTGGGGAACTAAGATCTCACATGCCAAACAGCATGGCTAAAAAAAAAAAAGAAGAAGATTATTCTAGTGCCCTAGAAGCCTCCACCTCCTAATTTCCCTCCACTCCAGAGGCAATTACTTTCCTAAAAACATATTAAATTTGCCTATTAACTTTATGTAAGTGGAATCATACATTACCTGTTCTCTTGTATCTGGCTTCTTATGTTCAATATTTTGTTTTGAAATTCATCTTAAGTCATTGCATGTAGCAATAGATCATTTCTTTTCATTGCTATTAGTATTCCACTGTGCGAAAGTAAAAGAAATTGTTAGTCCCTCAGTTGTGTCTGCCTCTTTGTGACCCCATGCACTGTAACCCCCCAGGCTCTCTCTGTGGAATTCTCTAGGCAAGAGTTCTAGAGTGGGTAGTCATTCCCTTCTCCAGGGAATAATCCCGACTCAGGGATTGAACCCAGGTCTCCTGCATTGTAGGTGGATTCTTTACCATCTCATTTCTTTTTATTGCTCAGTCATGTCTTGATTCTTGCAACCCCGTGGACTGTAACCATCAGGCCTCTCTGTCCATGGAATTCTCTTGCCTCTCCAGGCAAGAAGCTGGAGTGGGTTGCCATTTCCTACTCCACTATATTATATATATGTACACATTCTGTTATATTCCTTTCCAGTACTGTTTATCATGAGATACTGAATATATAGTTCCCTGTGCTATACAGTAGGACCTTGTTGTTTATAGAGCCAACATTTTTGTACTTCATTTTTCCTGAACTGGATCTGTGTGAGATCTTAGCCATGGACAAGACCATGAGCTGGTTTTTATTTCCCATCTTCTCTTCCACTTTCACTCTCTTCCAACTTTGTCAAAAAAGGCATTCCTCTCACCCATTTCGTATGTTTCTGTGGGACCCAGCCCCATGATAGAAAAGCTTTCAGGGAGTTAAAGAGACTTGAACTATTGGGACATTCTGTTAGAGTAAGTACTCATGGCTAGAGAGAGCTGTGGCCACAGGTTCAGTTGTTGAATTTGCTCTTGAATCCACAGGTTCTAGTCTACAGGACCATCTTCAGTAATAGAAGAAGGAGGCTCCAGTCTTGGGAGATCATGGATTCTGACAGCAGCCTGACCTGAGATCCCTGACCGTAACCTCCAGGCAGGTCTGGAAAGAGGGAAGACAGAACACACCCTGGAGTTACACGCCCTTTCTTAAGAACTGGAGAAGATGAGCAAGGTTCAGGTGAGGTTTGTGTTATCTATTTTACTCCTTTGTTTCCCAGGGGACTGGTGGAAGCTTCTAAAAAGCAGTCTTGTGAAATGAGAGCAGTATGAAGTGAAAAGTGAAAGTGATGGTCACTTAGTTGTGTCAGACTCTTCGGGACTCCCATGGACTGTAGCCCACCAGGCTCCTCTGTCTGTGGAATTCTCCAGGCAAGAATACTGGAGTGGGTAGCCATTCCCTTTTCTAGAGGATCTTCCCAACCCAGAGACTGAACCCTGGTCTCCTCCATTGCAGGCAGATTTTCTGCCGTCTGAGCCACCAGGAAAGCCCTGAGAAGAGTATATGTTAATAAAAATTAGGATCTGCTGTACAGTAAGCTTAGGCTAAAATCTTAAAATAGAAGCAGATTCTTCCCTTATAACTTCTTTAGAGGACTTTAAAATAGGAGAGAAAAACAAGAAAAAGAAAAAAAAGAAAAAAAAAAATTTTTTTTCCCTAATTAAAAAAATCGTAAAAATATATGAAAATGAAAGTTGAGGAGTAATGGGGGAGTAATAGGGAATTTTAAAAGAAAATAAAAGAGAAAAAATTAAAAAAAAAAAAAGATAGAAAAAAAATTTTTTTTTTTTTTTAAATTAAAAAAAAATATATATATATATCTAGGAATTTCTCTGGAGTTGTTGCAGTCAGCGTAGGTTCAGTTCAATTTCAGATAGCTCCTCTTTCCAGCTTACACTTCTCGATATCTGTAGGCCCCTTCTGGTGTAGTCGGTGTTACCTTCAGGGATTTTAGTCTGTTGCACCAGTCCTTTCTGAAGCGGTTCCCTTTGTTTATTTGGCTTCTGTTTGCCGTCTCTTCGGTGTCTAATTTCCGCCCTGACACAGGCGGGTGGAGGAGATCTCTTATTTAGGTTCTCTAGTTCAGTTCAGTCCTGCTACGGGGAGGGCGGGGCGCTGCAGACAGATACCGCTCTGTGTGGATAGCACTCAAAGTGTTCCGGCCACACTGGGTTTGCCCCGCTCACGGGTGTCAGTGCTTTCGCCGTCTACACTGCTCAGGCTCCCGGCTGCTCTATATGGAGCGGGCCCTGCGTTGAGTGCGGTTCCAGATTTCGGGTACTCCACAAAAGCGCAGATTCGGTTGCGCCTGCGTTTTGTGCCTTCCCCGGCCTGAGCGGTTCAGGCAGCCAGAGGCTTGGGCGTACTCTCCCTGGGTGCGGCGCGCCTTTTCCCTCCGCGGCGGGCAGCCCAGGCAGCCAGAGGTTTGGGCGCACTCTCCCCGGAGGTGGCGCGCCTTTTCCCTCCGCGGCGAGCGGCCCAGGCAGCCAGAGGCTTGGGCGCAATCTCCCCGGAGGTGGCGCGCCTTTTCCCTCCGCGGCCCCAGCGCGCGCGCCGCCAGTCGGGTCTCAGGAAGTCTTTAGAACCGGGGGCCTGTTTGCAGTGTGGGAGGGGGTGGCTTCTCAGGGGCTGAGTTTGCCCTTTTCCCCTACCCCCTGCCTCCAACCTCCAGCGGGGATGGGCCGGCTCTTCTGTGGACTTTCTCAGTCCCTTTGTTTTGCGAACCGCCGGCAGTGTGTTCGGGCCCTAAGCAATGACGCCCGCTCCTCTCCGTCCCACCCCCGCTTGTTGCTGGCGGGTACTGGCGTCTGGGGTACTTTTCTGCTGGGAGTTGCTTTTAGGCACGTAATCTGTGGGCCTTGTTTAATTTTTCCTCCCAGTTAGATTGCCGAAAACTTCCCCCAGTCCCGCCAGTGCGAGGGTTTCCTGGTGATTGGAAACTTCCTCTATTAAGACTCCCTTCCCGGGACGGGTCTCCGTCCGTAGCTCTTTTGACTCCCTTTTTATCTTTTATATTTTGTCCTACCTCCCTTCGAAGACAATGGGCTGCTTTTCTGGGCGCCTGATGTCCTCTGCTAGCGATCAGAAGTTGTTTTGTGCAATTTGCTCAGCATTCAAATGTTCTTTCGATGAATTTGTAGGAGAGAAAGTGGTCTCCCCGTCCTATTCCTCCGCCATCTTGGCTCCTCTCCCCTTATAACTTCTTAAACCCAGTTTCAAAAAATGAAGTCAGAGCCAATTATTCTTGGTTTGATCTTTGTATTTTTAATTACACAAGTGATACATAGCTCCATTCACGTGCACGAGGTTTAAGCACACAAAAGTCTTTGCATCAAAAGAGAATATCCTCTTGTACCTTTTTCTCACCGAAGAGTAGCATGTTAATAATTTGGGTCTCCCATCAAATTCATGTTTGGTAACATATATCTATATTTATGTTAATTTACATATATCTTAATGTATGCATTTTTATATGCATACATATGTAAACTTATAGATATGTAACTGAATATATTAGAGTTTTTCACATGTCTGGGATGAGACAATATACTATTTGGGGGCTTGATTCTTTTCATTTAAGAGAATGCCTTGAAGATCATTGATGCCAGTATATTTAAATCCATCTCGTTGATTTTAATGTTTGCATAATATTTCATAGCATGGAGGTATAGGATACCCTGTCTGCCTCTGATAGACATCTAAATTAATAACAGATTTTTCACTTATATGAACAAAGACCTTCTTAACTGCACAGTGTCTTTTATTTCTGTGCAAATATTATTTTAGTTCTTTTCTAGGCTGGGAAGGACTAATTTGTAGAATTCCACAGGGCTGTGGTTTGAGTTTTTGTGTGCCTCCACAATTCGTATGTTGACATTTTAACCCTTCAAAGATGATGGTATTAGGAGGTGGAGGCATTTGGAGGTGTGTAGGTCAGTCATGAGGGTAAGGTCTTCACAAATGGGATGAGTGTCCTTATAAGAGAGAACACACAGGGATCCCTCGCCCTTCCCTGTGAGAACCCAGTGAAAAGGTGCCCTCTGTGAACCAGGGAGCAGGCCCTCACTAAAATGTGGCCATTATGGCCTTTGATCCCAGACTTCCCAGCCGCCACAACTGTGAGAAATAAATTTGTTTTTATAAGCTACCCAGTCTGTGGTATTTTATTATAGCAACCCAAGTGGACTGAGACACAGTCACGGGCTTTCCCTGGTGGCTCAGTGGTAAAGAACCTGCCTGCCAACGCAGGGGACATGGGTACAATCCCTGGGCCGGGAAGATCCCACATTGCTACAGAGCTCGGCCCGAGCACCACAACTACTGAGCACGTGCTCTGGAACCCGGGAGGCGCAACTGCCAAAGCCCTCTGGCCTAGAGCCTGTGCTCTGCAACAAGGGAAGCCGTGACCCTGAGAGGCCCACACACCACAGCTAGGGAGTGGCCCCCACAGCTAGAGAAAAGCCCATGCAGCAACAAAGACACAGCACAAAAATAAATAAATAAATACAGATTATTTTTTTAAAAGACACATGGTCTATCCTCTGTGAAATAGCCACAGCCACAGCGCACATGATTTATCATGGGGAAGATAAACAGAATGTGTTCCTGAGACTTCTGTGGTGGTCTAATGGTTAGGATTCTGGGCTTTCACTGCTGTGATCCAGGTTCAGTCCCTGATTAGGGAACTGAGATCCCATGAGCTGTGTCGTACGGCCAAAGAATAAAATAAAAATGAGATCTCTGCTGATTTATAAAAAAATAAAAGAACATGTTCTTACTCTTTTTTTCCACATCACATATTCCACTGCAAATTGCGCTGGGATTTGTTATTACAGGGCTCTGTGTCATTCGAGGACGTGGCTGTGGGCTTCAGCCAGGAAGAGTGGCAGCTCCTGGGCCCATCTCAGAAGGCCCTGTGCTGGGACGTCATGTTGGAGAACTACTGCAACCTAGTGTCAATAGGTAAGGGCAGCCTGTGCTCAGGCCACCCAGGATGGCGGTTCTCCTGCTCTCTGTCCATCTCTGGCTCAAGCCATGCCTGCTTCACCTCCACCCTACTCAAGTGACTGACCTCCCTATCTACAGACTTACCCCAGCCCCAGCTAATGCCCATTCTAGCTTTAGATCAGAACGTCTCCACTATGAGAGCTTATCATAGGGGTGGTGACGGGTGTGCCCCTCTGCTGGTTTCCCTGGTAGCCAGTGAGTCAACCTGACATCAATTTCCCCTGTAACTGGTAATGCACCCCTCACCCCAGCAAAGACTGCCACCATGTCCTGCCAGCCACGTACTGCACACAGTGGGGTGTTGCTCCAGGACTTTGCGTCAGATAAGTAAGCTCTTCCCTCTGTTAAACCATTGACGTCACTGTCCCTAACTCCAGGCTCTTTTTCTGTGGTTTGAAGTTGGATGAGTCCGGGGCTTGGAGACCTGCAGGGTGCAGCCCAGCAGATAGCATTATAGTCAGTTGCCTTTTTTTCCTCATTCAGTGAAATCTATAGGGTTCCTGGAATGTTGTATTTTATGGGTGGGACTAAAGCACTGTAGGTCCTCGAATGCATGTTCTCCCTTTCCAAGTTAAAGGTTTTTACTTTACCAAAGTACAAAGGATGTGGTCCCCGAAATCAAATTTTCTACAGTTCTCGTAGATCACCCCGGCTCAAATGCTCAGCACCAGCCATCCCGTGATTTCCCATTTACAGGATATCAGGCTCCCAAACCAGATTCACTCTTTCAGTTGGAACAAGGAGGACCCCCGTGGAAGGTCAAGGGAGCAGCCCTGAGTCCAACCTGCCCAGGTGAGTAAGCACAAACCAAGAAGGTGGGAAGAAACGACATGAAAATTCAGTTAGTCAGTGACGGGTTGACACTTCTGAAATGTTATCTAGAGAACTTCCCTGATACCAGTTGGTGGCCCAATAGCCTAACACCTTTCTGCATGTTTTTATTAGGGCTCTTCTTCTTTGCCTGCTATTAAAGGATGATGTCTTCTTTTTTACAGTTTTCTGGATCTTACTGTGGTTTGTGTCATCCAAGACCTGAAGGTCTTAAGCTGGTTTCGTGCCTCCCAGCACACTCCCTCATGCCTTGTCCTTTGCTTTGTCTGCAGGGGCTCACTTCCTGTCCTCCACCTTCCTCACTATGAGGTCGCTCTCACCACCCATACAGATCGCTTTGCACTTAGCACTGCAGTGTCACCTCCCCTTTTGACAGAGGTGTTCTCCCTCCCTGACAACCCACCTCACCTTCATTCATCTGAAAACCATACACACCTTGTCTCCCAGGGGACCTCTGTCTACTGATTGACCCTCTGCTTCCCCAACTTTCAGGTTATGGTTTTTGTTGTTAATCTTCTGTTAAAAGTTTGACTCAGTCTCAGGGCCTCAGCTTTCTGTTCTCTGCTGGAGGGTCCCAGGTTGACTCCTGCTAATGTCTGACCTGCACTCGAACCCTCTGCGTGTTGCCAGCCACCAGGGCCGCTGGCCTGTAATGCTCTACTTCCTGTGTGTGAGACCAGAATCCTCTTTTCTCCCAGATACTGTCTTCACCCTCAGAGTGTGTGTTCACACATGTGGAAGATTTAAGCTCTCTGACAGATAATCCTGGGTTGACAACTCTCTTTTTATAGTCTAATCTGCCTTCTCATGCTGCATTTTACCTGTGTCCAAAGTAATTATTCTATGAAATCCTTTTTCCTTCAGTGTCATGAATGAGATCATTTTTCCTCCTGGTGAATCCTTTTCCTCCCCATGCGTTTTGTTTAGGTTCTACCATATTGCTCTGCCTTTCAGTTACCTTGAGTCTTCCATGTTTGGCTCTGTTATTTCTGTGGTAGTCCAGTGGTTAAGGCTCCATGCTTCCTCTGCAGGGGTCACAGGTTCCATCCCTGGTCAGGGAACTGAGGTCCCACATGGCATAGGACATGCCCCCCCCCAACCTCAAAAAAAAAATCGAAAAGGCATTCTGTATGGATTCCAGGTGCCTTCTTTTGGGCTTCCCTGGTGGCTCAGATGGTAAAGAATCTGCCCACAACGCAGGAGACCTGGGTTCGAGTCCTGGGTCAGGAAGATGCCCTAGAGAAGGAAGTGGCTACCCACTCCAGTATTCTTGCCTAGAGAATTCCATGAACAGAGGAGCCTGGCGGGCTACAGTCCATGGAGTCACAAAGAGTTGGACACGACAGAGTGACTAACACTAACTAACTGCTGTTCCTGTTTAATTTTGTTTTATAATACTGTCATTTTTTTCACAGAGCATAGGATACACTTCCATGTAGGCGTTTCTCTTAGACTGGGATCTTATAAGAGCTAACTCAAACCATGGCATTTTTATGCTCCATTCCCCCCCTAGAATTATCATGGATGTTTTCATTGTTCTTTTTCCTAGAAGAAATGTGGGAGATTGATCCTATGCAGTGGCACCCAGAAAACCAAAACAGGATTAAAACTTTGGAAAGATGTCCACAAAGTTGTGCAAATAATTTTAATTTATGCAAAAGCCTTGTTCCTTTAACACAAAGACACAATAAGTTTGGCTCACGCTGTAAAAGTCTGAAGTCACTGTTAGGTTTAGTTGTTGGGAATAGAAGATACTCAGGAAAGGATTCTGAGGGTTCAGTGGGTACGGGAAACCATCTGTCTGCACTCTTAGTGCAATCGGATACTATGGTTGTGTGAAACCCAGTAGCACTAAGTCACCGCTCAGTGGCCGTCAGAAAACTTATTCAGGAAAGAAGCCATATGCACGCAGTGAGTGCAGGAAGGCATTCTCCAGGAAGGCACAGCTCATGATACATCAGACAACTGAAAGGGGAGAGAAGCCCCACGATGCAGCACATGTGGGAAAGCATTCATGAAGATTCAGCTCACTGAACATCAGGGAACTCATACGGGAGAGAAGCCCCATGAACGTAATGAATGTGGGAAAGCCTTTTCCAGAAGGTCGCAGCTCATGGTCCACCAGAGAAGTCACACAGGAGAGAAACCCTGCGGGATGTGGTGAGTGTGGAAAAGCCTTCAGCCGGAGGTGCCAGCTCAAGAGACATCAGCGCTCTCACACCGGAGAGAAATTATATGGCTGCGGTGCGTGTGGGAAGGCCTTTTCCCAAAAGGCTTACCTCATTGCCCATCAGAGACTCCACACAGGAGAGAAGCCCTACGAGTGCTGCAAATGCAAAAGAATCTTCTTTTTTAAGTCTGACCTGACCAAGCATCAGAGAATTCACACAGGAGAGAAACTGTATGAGTGCAGTGACTGCAAAAAGGCCTTCCGAAGTAAGGCAAAGCTCATTCAGCACCAGCAAACTCACACCAGAGAGACCGTACAGCTGCAGTGAATGCGGCAAAGCCTTGGCCCACATGTTCTCATCAAACATAAGAAGACTCACTGGGGAGAGAAAGCTGTAGATTCCCCAGAGCTGAAGAAACCCTCCTCCAGGCATCATAGCTCTTTATGCCTGAGCAAACTCGTACAGGAGCAAAGCCCTATGAACACAGTGCCTGCGGAGATGGTGTCTTCGGGAACCCAGTCCTTATTAAACAGTGAGCTGCTAAGGCGCAGAAACAGTGATTGTGGCCCAGCCTTTTCTAAGAAGTCAGGCCTCAGTAGATAATCGGGGGTTTACCCAGGGAATAAGCCTTGGAAATACACTGAATGTGATCACCCCTTCAGTAACAAATTGTGTCTTATATGTTACAGATACTGCATAGCAAGAAATGTCCTCGTATCAGAGATGGGGGAAAGCCTTGAGCCAGAATCTTCCCCACAGTCATTATGTATCAGTGCTCACTTGGGGCAGAAATGCCAGACTTCCCTCGTGGTTCAGTGATTAAGACTCCAAGCTTCCAGTGCAAGAGGTGCAGGTTCAATCCCTGGCTGAGGAACTAAGATCCCACAGGCTGTTGTGGGGTGCAGCCAAAAAAGGAAAAAAGTTGATTTCAGGACAAAAATGCCGTGGATGCAGTGGTCATGGAGAACATGTCTATGAAAAGTTAGTAAATATCAGTGAGATCACATGGAGCAGAAATGTAGTTCTTGTGGGGAACCCTTTTCCCAGAAGTGATATCCCAGTGGATTTCAAAGAGTTCCCACGGGACCGAAACCTTAGGAAAGAGTGGGATGGTCTTCAGTGATCAATTATACCTTCTCACTTGTCAGAGAAGCATAGACAACCTTAGAGGTGCTGAAAGTGGAAAAAACACATTTATAAAATGTGGAAGAATGCCTAGAAAAGAGAAATCCCCTGAAAGCCATAAAAAAAAGGAAATTGTATCCTCAAACTAAGTTGTGTATCACAGTTTTACCTTGGGAAATGGAGAGAGACTTCTCTAAGTAAAGGAAATCTTAGACGTCAGGAGTTGCACTGTGGAGTGAAAACCTCAGAATATAATGAATGTAAAAGTACAGCTGTATTGGTTTCTTGTGGCTGCTGTAACCAGTTTTCACAAACTCAGTGTTTCAGAATAACAGTGCATTAGTCCAGAGATCTGAAATCCAAAATGCATCTCTCTGGGATTAAAAACAAAGTTGTTGCAGGGTCACATTTCTTTATGGAGGTTCTAGAGCAGACTCGGTTTCTTTGTTTTCCCAGCTTCTAGAAGCTCCCCAGATTCCGTGACTTTTGGCCCCTTTCCTTCCTTAAGGTCAGTGATGACTGATCAACTCTTCCATCTCTCATTTTTCTGCCTCCTCCTTCCATACTTAAGGACCCTTGTGATTACATTGGGCCCACCCAGAAAATTCAAAATAATCTATCTTACAATCAGTTAATTAGCATCTTAAACTCCATCTACTAGCTTGTGTCCCCTTTGCTTTATAATATAGCATATTCACAAGTCCTGGATATAAGGATGTAGACATCTTTGGGAGGCCATTATGCTGCCTATCAAAGGCTACCCTTTGGCGCCCAATGGTTTGTGTCCATCCCATGTGTAAAATGGATTCACCCTATCCCACCATCTCCAAGTGTCTCAGCCTGTTACAGGACCAACTCAGAGTCCAAAATCTCACCTAAAACGGATTCACTCGGGAGTGCGAAATCTCATCTTCTAAAGCTAATATTGGTGAGCCTCTGAGTATAATCTGCCCTGGGGCACATTTTTCTCTCTGTGAACCTTAAAACTCTAGAAACAATTTATTTGGCCCTAAAATGACTTAATGCCATCTTCTGCCTTAATTCCCCTTCACCATACAATGTAACAGATTTCCAGATTCTGGAAATTGGGACATGAACATCTTTGGGGTTTGCCATGATATTGCCTACCCCAAAAGCATTAGATTTCAGAGAGTTTTTGCACTTCAGTAAATTCCTGCCTGCCCCTTCAATAAGTTTGGAACAACATGTTCCCAGTGAAGCAGTTATTATCTAAAGTAATTATGTTCTAAGTACATTAACATTTTTTTTCTTTAATCAGAGAATCTTGTACTAATTCTTAAGACATAAACACCGTGGAATGCTCTTGAAACATATGAATCAAATTGTCAGCACTGGAAAAGAACTCTCTCCTAATGGAACATGAGACTTTTGCTGCTGGAAATACTACCAAACATACGTTTGTATCTATTCTGAAATTGAATAGGTTAATATATCCACATATAAAATTCCATGGGCAGAGGATCCTGGTGGGCTGCAGTCCATTTTAGTCAGCAGAATTACCAAGAAAAAGTATAAAAATATGAAACACATGACACTAAGCAGACCGTGAAAAGGATGCTTGTTTGCATTAGGAGAACTGAAATAAGACAGCAGCATTTGGTTCAGACTCAGCCGGGATCATGCACCTCGGGTGACTCAAATTATTTGTTGTTCAAATTATCGGCTATGCGTGTCTGCAGATGTTCGTGAAAGTGCTGTGATTATTGATTTTGGGTTAAAAAGAAATTTTAGCAGTCAGGTGAATTCACAGAAAATCCATGAATAATGAAAACTGACTGAAATTTATTTTTAAATTTTTCTGCTGGTTTATGTACATCTAAATGGTCATTTTAATAATATCCTTTCTACATATTTTAGATATCCTGTTTCTCAATACAGTAAACCTTTATATTAAACATTCATATTAATATCTTGTGCTGATAATTCCTGTATGTGTAGTCATTTCATATCTGATTCTGTTATTTGTTCTATCTGTTGAAAAGTGTCCAAAAGCTCCTTGAGGGCAGATTTTTGCTGTGTTTATATGTTAGCACTTAGTTCTTCACCTTTTAAATAGTTGTCTGAGATGATTTATAGAGACATTTTATATCCCTGTTTTAGGGATATTTTACCTGTAAGATATAGTGAATATGCTTTTGAGAAACTTCTGATTTACTAGACTAGTTTATAATTAAGTGTTCAATTGCAAAATCAGTATAAAGGCATTTTACTTCTTTTCATAGTAACTGATGAAAACTGTTACCCAGAGAGAGAGCCTTGGTAACTTATGGTGAAAACAGCCACCTGTAGGGCTTTTGCTCATTAGTAGTGATCACCACAGGCTTCCCAGGTGGTGCCATGGGAAAGAATCCACCTGCCAACGCAGGAGGCCCAAGAGACATGGGTTCAATTCCTAGGTTGAGAAATGGCAACCCACTCCAGTATTCTTGCCTGGAAAAAATTCAATGCACAGAGGAGCCTGGCAGGCTGTAGTCCCTGGGATCACAAAGAGTTGGATACAATTGAGCACATATACACACACACACAATGATCACCACACATTGGAAGAAGAATGTGGGATAATTAATAGGGACTAGTGTCATTTGACGGACAAGGCAGTGACACCCCACTCCATTACTCTTGCCTGGAAAATCCCATGGACGGAGGAGCCTGGTAGGCTGTGGTCCATGGGGTCGCTGAGAGTCAGACACGACAGAGCAACTTCACTTTCACTTTTCACTTTCATGCATTGGAGAAGGAAGTGGCAACCCACTGCAGTATTCTTGCCTGGAGAATCCCAGGGATAGGGGAGCCTGGTGGGCTGCCGTCTGTGGGGTCTCACAGAGTCGGACACGACTGAAGTGACTTAGCAGCGGCAGCAGCAGTGTCATTTGAGGATATTTCTATGGACTTCACCTGGGAGGCGGGCTTCCCTGGTGTCTCAGATGGTAAAGCATCTGCCTGCAATGGGAGAGACCTAGGTTTAATTCCTGGGTTGGGAATATCCCCTGGAGAAGGAAATGGCAACCCACTCCAGTACTCTAGCCTGGAAAATTCCATGGGCAGAGGAGCCTGGAAGGCTACAGTCCATGGGGTCGTAAAGAGTTGGACACGACCGAGCGACTTCACTTCTACTTCTTCACCTGGGAGGAGTAGCAGCCACTAGGTTCTGCTTAGAAGAGCCAACATCAGGATGTGTTACTGGAGAATTCTAGTAACCTGTGACACTAGTTAATGATTGCCCTGTGTCATTCAGAACACAGCCAATAGCCTTTCCTTTTTCAGTTGCCCTAACATCCAAAGAGCCTCAAGATATTGGAGTTGAGTTTATAGACAATAGATTTTCAGTCCTTCTGTTCCCATCAGAACTTAATGGGCTTTCATCTTTATTAGATCTTTAATCTGCCAAGGTGAGAGTGTGTCCATTCCAGAAACATTTTGTGCTCTTCCCAGACATCCCCCACCAAATCCAATTGTAAGCATCCAAGTCTTTGTCATTTCCCATGAACAGGCTATCAAGCTGCCAAACCAGATGTGATCCTTAACTTCGAGCCCGGAGAAGAGCCATGGAAAGTAGAAGATGAAATGCAGCATCAGTACTTTTCAGGTAAGTAAGCAGCTGAGAAGCTGCAAGATGGGAGACCTTGAAAGTAGTTGGACGTGAAAGGTTGACCCTTCCGAATGTGTTTAGCAAGGCTAAAACTCTGAAGGTTGTTGTTGTTTAGTCACTAAGTCATGTCTGACTCTCTACAACCCCATGAACTGCAGCATGCCAGTCTTTCCTTTCCTTCACTGTCTCCCAGAGTGAAAATAAACTCATGTCTGTTGAGTCTGTGATGCCCTCCAACCATCTCATCCTCTGTCGCCCCCTTGTCCTGCCCTCAATCTTTCCCAGCATCAGGGTCTTCAGTGAGTCAGTTTTTCGTATCAGGTGGCCAAAGTACTGGAGCTTCAGCTTTTGCATCAGTCCTTCCAGTGACTGTTCAGGTTTAATTTCCTTTAGGATGGACTGGTTTGATTTCCCTGCTGTCCAAGGGACTCTGAAGGTCTTTACAAACACCTGAATCATTGATGAGCCTCTCTTGCATGCTGTTTCCAGGAAAATGTGCCTCTTTTTCTCTCTCAGATTGACTCAGTGTTCAGTAATTAGTTTCCTTATGGCATCCAAACTTCCTCCTTCTTCTTCCTCTTTGGCAGCATCATTTCCTTTCTCCACATTCTCTTTAGCTTCTTTTACCTTATCACATAATGCCACAATTCTTCCAGTTAATACAGCAACACGGGTGCCGGTGGCTTTCTGTGGGCCATATGAGAATGTATCAGAGCAAGCCAGAAAGTGGAAATATTGACCACAGTGGTGGTCTGTAAATGTGATATTAGAGTGTTGGGAAGGTTTATTGTCTATTGCCTGCATAATTAGTTAGACAAGAAAGGATCAGTGAGATAGGGTAACTACACTTTAAGTTAAAAGCTGAGGATCCTTTATTCTAAACTGCTTACCCCAGATGTTTGTTCAAGACTTAACTTGGCGTCTTTCCTTTGTAGTCATTGTTTGTGCCTGATGAATGGACCTTCTCGATACTCTGGGCATCTCCTAAAGTCTTTAGAGTTGAAAAGCATGAGGCTTCATCTTTGCCTGTTTCTGTCATTTGCTAACCAGTGTAAATTCATTAAATTTCTTGGCCTTAACAATACTATTTATTTGCTGATGACCCCCAGATTTCTGTCTACTGACCAAACCTTCCCTCATCCTCATATAGTCACCTGATACTTCTTTTCTGCACTCAGAATCTGATACCTACCTCATATTCACATCACTTTTTCTTCCTCTTTTCACTCACACCACAAATTTAATCCATCAGCAAGTTTGGTCTCACTCTCCTGATATCCCAAGGGCTCCACTCTTTTCTGTTACTATTATTTTCACTCACACGTCAATGTCCAGTATTTTTTGCCAAAATTGTTATAGTTTTCTTGAAAATACTCTTGACTACTTTAATGTTGCTTCTCTCTGTTCTCCACACAATAATCAAGTGATTTTTTTTTCAAAAATCTTGCTATTTTTATATATTTATAAAAAGGAAGTAAGGAAAGTCAGTGTTTCTATAGCTACTCACCACACCACCCCCCACAACGGTCATGAGCATGAGCTTCAGAAGCATCTGGCTTTTTAAAGACATAATGTCTTGACAGTTACCTGGATTGAAAAAACCGGGTATGGCAAGATAAACCATCACGTAGAACAACCTTCTGAGTGGGAGGGTAGAGAGCAAAATCTAAAGTGTAATCCAAGAACGATGCTACATGACACAGCAGATCATTACCAGTTTTCATAACCACAGTCCACAAGCCTAAAAATAGTGTATGTCACAATGTTTGAGACCTTGTAATTCACATACACAAAGGATGACATTTTTGAAGTGAAAGCCTAAGACGTCTCTCTCCTAGTATTACCTTGAATGGCATCCTATTATTGTTATTAATAATATAATATCTGAATTCCTTCCAGAGTCTTCCTACAGGTGAGCATTTCCTGACTACTGCCTACTTTTTTACTTCTTGTAAAAATGAAGTATAATGAAGTTAATTTTTGCAATCAACCCACGGTGTAACCAACATTTAGATCGGGAATACTAGAGTACTGTGCAGGATGCCATTGTGGGAATATGAAACAATTTAGTCATTCTGCATTCAGGCCATTATGAGTAATCCTCCTATATAACTTAATACAAATGTTGTCTTTTATTTTCTATTTTTTCCTTTTGAAAATATTTATTTCTAAATAGTTTAAACTTCATGTGAAATCCCAAGATTATACACAGATTTCATGTACATTGTTTTTGCAGGTTCCCTTAAGTGGTAGTATTTTACCACATTTGCTTTATCATAATCTGTCATTTTACACACACACACACACACACACAAGTACATATTGCTTTCCTGAACTCTTGACCCCTAATAATAACCCTTTATAAATATATAACTATTTCCTAGAAACAGGTAATTTAAAAAACATAAACAGAATAGTTATGAAAATCAGAATATTACTGCTTATACAGAACTATTATCCAATCTAGAGTTTCCTCAAATTTTACTTATTATCTCACTCTTATTTTTATAATAATAAAAAAAAAAACCTTTTTCTGGACCTTCACTTGCTATGTTGTTCATTCTGCTATGAGTACTCTGGCTTTAATCTAGCTGTCAGAGTTTGCTAATTATAACTCAACTTCTTTAGGCAAGAAACTATATGGATGCAATCAAAATGCAGTGGATACTTGTCAACCACTCACAACCATGCCTTGGAGAACTCACGCAGGAAATAATTCCCATGGATGCCGTGATTGTAAGAGAACCTTTCCCAGTGAGTTAAAGCTAGTTACTCATCAGGACACTCACACAGGAGAAAGCCCATATCGATGCAGTCGATGTCAGAAAGCCTTCATTACAAAGTCAGCACTCGCCTATCATCAGAAGACCCGACACAGAGAAGGAAAGTCCCACAGATGCAGCAAATGTGGGAAAGCTTTTCCTTGGAAATCAAAGCTCAGCTTACATCAGAGGACTCATTCAGGAGAAAGACCCTTCAGATGTGGAGTTTGTGATAAAGCCTTCATGGTGAAAGCACATCTCACTGTACATCAGAGAACTCACACGGGAGAGAAGCCATACAAATGCTCCGACTGTGAGAAAGCCTTCTCAAAAAAGGCTCAGCTCCTGATTCATCAGCGAATCCACACAGGAGAGAGACCATATAGATGCAGTGAATGTCAGCAAGCCTTCATCCAGAAGTCAGATCTCAGCGATCATAAGAAAAGTCATCACGCGGCAGAGAAGTCCCACGAATGCAGTGAATGTGGGAAGATTCTGTCCTCTAAGTCAACTCTCATTGTACATCACAGAACCCATACAGGTGAGAAACCCTTCAAATGCAGTGCATGTGTTAGAGCCTTTACGTCAAAAGCACATCTCGTTATCCACGAGAGAGTTCATACAGGAGAGAGACCATATGAATGCGCAAACTGTGAGAAGGCCTTCTCCACTAAGGCGTATCTCATGATCCATCAGCGAATTCACACAGGAGAGAGACCGTATGGATGCAGTGAATGTCCACAGGCTTTCATCCAGAAGTCAGGTCTCACTAACCACCTAAAAAATTGTCATGCCAAAGTGAAACTGTGTGAATGCCCCGAATGTGGGAAGGTTCTGTCATGTAAGTCAACGCTCATTATACATCAGAGAACCCACACAGGTGAAAAACCATTCAAATGCAGTGTATGTGACAAGGCTTTCACAGCCAAATCCTATCTCACCGTACATCAGAGAATTCATACAGGAGAGAAACCATATGAATGCCCCCACTGTAAGAAAGCATTTACTACCCTGTCAGCTCTTATCAGTCACCGGAGAACTCACACAGGAGAGAGGCCCTATGGATGCAATGAATGTCAGAAAGCCTTCTTTCGGAAATCAGTGCTTGCTAATCATCAGCGAACTCAGCATAGAGGAAAATCCTGTGCACAGTGACTGTGAGAATGTGATAAAGCTCTTCTCATTAACCTTACCTACGCACAGAACTCATAGAGAATGGAAATGCCATAAGTGCTCTCATTATACAGGCTGTTCTGGAACTCCTTAATAGGAAAGAAACCTTGTACATGGAATGAAAGTTGTACATCTTCCATCTAAAGACATTCACCTTGTTATACCTTAGGGATCTCACCAAAAAAAGAAACATTATAGAGTCAGCGAGAATGGGCTTTCCTGGTGGTACAATGGTATAAAGAATCTGCCTGCTAACACAGGAGATGCAGGTTTGATCCCTGGATCGAGAAGATTCCCTGGAGTAGTAAAAGGCAACCTACTGCAGTATTCTGGCCTAGTGAATTCTGTGGGCAGAAGAGCCTGGCAGGCTGTAGTCCATGGGGTCACACAGAGTCAGATATGACTGAGCATGCAACATAGTATAAAGGCAGTGATTGTCAAAAGACTTTATTTGAAAGTCACAGGCTATGCATTTAAGAGGCAGCCCATGTGGGTGCAGGGAGAGCAGGAAGTTTTTCTTTTTCAAGTCATGTTGGTTATACATTAGGGTATTCATTGAGGAGAGGGACCCTGCAGTTGCAGTGAACAAAGCAAGCTAAGAAAAGTCACATCTCATTGTACATAAAAATGGAAGTTTCAGGAATGTTTTGATAATGACAATATCCCCTAGAAAAGTCAAAACTTTTTGATCATCTTGTACAGGAGACAGATCCTATGGATGTGGTGAATGTGGTAGTCTTCCCACATCAACGTGATGTAAGATCTTCCTTACATCAACAGACTCAGAAAGGAGGAGAGCCTTGTTAATGTTAATGATCTCCTTGGACTGCAAGGAGATCAAACCAGTCAATCCTAAAGGAAACCAACACATAATATTCATCAGAAGGACTTATGCTGAAGCTGAACCTCCAATTCTTTGGCCACCTGACTCAAAGAACTGATTCATTAGAAAAGACCCCGATGCTGGGACAGATTGAGGGTAGGAGGACAAGGGGGTGACAGTGGATGAGATGGTTGGATGGCATCACCGGCTCAATGGACATGAGTTTGAGCAAACTCTGGGAGATAGTGGAGGACAGGGAAGCCCGGCATGCTGCAGTCCATGGGGTCACAGAGTCAAACACGACTTAGCAAGTGAACAATGACCCAGGAACTCCACTCTTGGGTATATACCCAATAAAGTAAAAAACAGATAATTAAATACTTGCATAAGAATATTCATAGCAGCACATGGTTCACAATAACCAGAGGGTGGAAACAACCCAGATGCGCATCAGTGGCTAAATGGATAAACAAAATACATGTATATATGTAATAGAGTATTAATCACCCATACAAGTGAACTATTGCTTCATATTATAAAATGAATAAGCCTTAGAAACAGTACACTGAGTGAAAGAAACCAGACCCAGCACACCACGCACTGAGACTTGCCTGGTGGTCCGCTCGTTAAGACAGCACTTCCAATGCAGGAAGCCTGAGTTTGGTCCCTGGATGGGGAACTAAGATCCCACATGCCACCCAACTGAAGAAAAAAAGATCACATATTTCTATAAAATGTCCAGAATGCATAACTCTATAGAGACATAAGAGTTTCCCTGGTGGCTCAGTGGTAAAGAGTCACTTGCCAGTTCAGGAGACCCAGATTTGATCACAGGGTCAGGAAGATCCCCTGCAGAAGGAAATGGCAACCCGCTCCAGTATTCTTGCCTGGAAAATCCCATGGACAGATGAGACTGGTGGCCTACAGTCCATGGTGTCTCAAAAGAGTCAGACACGACTGAGCGACGAAACAACAACAACATAGAGGCATAAAGGAAATTGGTGGTTACCAGGACCTGGGGGGAATGGGGACTAGAGACTGAATGATTAATGGCTGCAGAGTTTTCTTTTAGAATGATGAAAATGCTTTGGAATTAGATAGAAATGGTGGTTGCATAACATTCTCAGTGTAGTAAGTGCTCAATGAATAGTTTGAAATGGTTAACTATATTTTGTGAATTTTTACATCAATAAAAAAATATTTGAAAAGAATAACATTGCAAGAACCTTGGCATTCAAAATGTGAATAAAAATCGTTTGTTCTTGTCCAGTAGCTAAGTCATGTCTGACTCTTTGTGACCTTATGGTCACACCAGGCTTCCCTGTCCTTCACTATCTCCCAGAGTTTGCTCAAATTCGTGTCCATTGAGTCAGTAATGATACTTACAGAAAAAAAAAAAAAACCCTGCACAGCAAAACCAGTGTAAATATGCAGCCTTTAACATAATAGATATTAGCTACCAAAACTTTATAGCTAACATCATATTTAATGATGAAATTTTGAAGATATTCTGTAGTTATTCATCAGTGAGGTACACAAATCTGCTGTCTATATTCCTTCTAAAACACTGCTGGAGGTCTTAACCAACATAGCATTTCAATGATAATAACTAATGGGTTTAAAAATTGGAAACAAAATTGTCATTATTTGCAGATGATTTGATTGCCTATGTGGACAGATGAGAACCCATAGACAACCATGTAGAAAAAGTCCACTGCATAGTACAGGGAAGTATATTCAATATCCTGTGATAAATCATAATGGAAAAGAGTATAAAAAAGGGTATATGTGTATAACAGTTATTTTGCTGTACAGCAGACATTAACATTGTAAATCAACTATTGGGTGAGAAGTGGGGACAGAAAAGGTAATGTAGGAACATTGGTCTAATCATTTTCGTCTAGGGAGCAAGCTAGATATCATCCAAGCTGACATAAAAAAAATAGAAGACAAGTACATGTCAACGAAAAATTAGTCAATCTAAAGAAAATTTTATTCGAGCCCAGTTGAGAATTATAACCCAGGAACAGCCTCTCAGAAAGTTCCAAAATCTGTTCTGCCTGTTGGAAGTCAAAACACACATACATTTTCTGAGACAGATGACTGTATGTTAAATGGCATATTGTTGACATTTTACACAGTCCAGATCTAAGCATCATTGTGGTCCCTTACAAAGTCAAGAAGGAGTGTGAAGGAGTTGTCTTGATGCTGGGAGAATGTTGCTCCTTATGGCTGAGCCGGTATTTCTCCTGATGGGGGAGGTTTGGTCGATGCCCAATGTAGATACACAGGCACAGTGGAGGGTGAGGGAAGGCCACCAGACAGAAAAAAATTTTCATGTTTAAATTTTTCTGGGAATTCCCTGGTGGTGCAGTGGTGAAGACTCCATGCTCTCACTGCCACGGGCTGGAGTTTGATCCCTGCTTGGGGAACTAAAATCCCATAAGGCTTGTGGTACAGCCAAAAAATAATAATATAAAAAACACATATTTCTTGTCTTACCATAAAGTGTGAATTTTATCTCACATACACATAAAATATAAAAAGAAACATGAAGACAAGTGTACAGTTAACCCTGGGCAGTAGAAGGAAAAAAAAGAGGAAATGGAACTATACGAACCGTATCATTACATATAGTAGGCACTCAAGAACTTAGGGTAGAAGCACTTTCAAAAGTGATTGGGTCACTTGTTGACTTGGCCCCAAGATGGTTCAAAAAGACACATTTGGGCACGAAAGGTGGAGGGACTGGCAGGAGTGATCAGGGCTCCTGCAAGCGAGAATAAGATCCAGCCAGAGCCTTCCCAGCAATCCAGCGCCTCAGACACAGCCTGTGTCCTTAAGAGTGACATACTGTTAGCCAAATGCAAGTTCGGGTGCTCGACACGCTGTGAAACCAAACAACCTGCAATGTGAGGGTTTGGAGCAGAGAGGTCGTATTGCAGGGCTGTGAAAGAGACAGGTGCTTCGTGCTCAAAAAAGCCCCAACTCCTGGAAGGGTTCAGCAAAGCCCTTTTAAAGGCAAGGTGAGGGAGGGGCATGGTTGGTTATCACAGACTTCTTGGTGTGGGTATCCTTGCTTCTTGCAGCTGTTGTCCACATAGGTCAGTTCACTTTGTTCCTGTAAACCTCCAACAAGACAAAGGTTATTGTCTCTTCTGCAACTTTTTATATGAATTGACTTTTTTTTTTCAACGAGGGGAGTAAGATATATAGATGTTTTATTTCTTTTTTAATATTTTCATTCTTGCTTCCTATTTTAATGTTGCTGGTAGACAACAGAAAGTGTCTGACATTGAATCTACACCAAAGAAGTACCATTGTTTATTTCTGCTTCAGTTCAGTTCAGTCATTCAGTCGTGTCTGACTCTTTTCGACCCTATGGACTGCAGCACACCAGGCCTCCCTGTCCATCACCAACTCCTGGAGTTTACTCAGACTCATGTCCATTGAATCGGTGATGGCATCCAACCATCTCATCCTCTGTTGTCCCCTTCTCCTCCCACCTTCAATCTTTCCCAGCTTCAGGGTCTTTTCAAATGAGTCAGTTCTTCACATCAGGTGGCCAAAGTACTGGAGTTTCAGCATCAGCCCTTCCAATGAATATTCAGGACTGATTGCCTTTAGGATGGACTGGTTGGATCTCCTTGCAGTCCAAGGGACTCTCAAGAGAGAGTCAAGTGAGATTTAAAAAAAAAAAAAAGAGGTTGAAGCACTTTATGAAGCAATCATTGATTTTTTAAAAACATTTTAAAAATAATTTAAAATACGTATTTATTTTTGACTGCATTAGGTCTTCACTGCTTTGTGCAGGCTTTCTCTAGTTGCAGAGTGGGAACTAGTCTCGAGTTTCAGCGCACGCACGGGCTTATTGCGGTGGCTTCTCTTGTTGCAGAGCACAGGCTTAATGGTCAGAGTTTTGAGATGGGCTGTCCTATATATTTCAGGCTCTATGCAATATTCTTTTGCAAAATGTGCATTATGACTAAGCACAGGCAACAGAGCACAAAGCTTAGAAAGAAACAGATCTAATACGGAGTCAGATTTACTCTTCCCTCTTACAACACCACAGCTCAGAGTCCAACATGAACCTGATAGGTCTCATCCATGTGACCCTGGTTTGCAGTGGGGGGCGGGGAGGTAGGAAGGATGGGGGGCAGGACTGGAGGATCCACTTTGCCATCCCAGTGCTGAGTGCCCTGTCTGTCCCGCACTCCCTTGGACACACAGGATTCACTGCAGTGGGGGCAGGAAAATGTTGCCCTCAGCTGCACCTGCTTTTAATTAGTTCTGTCTTAATCCCCAGGAACTGCGGATGCTGACTTGTCTTGGGACTAACGTCGACAGCTTCTTTGCAGATGTACCACGGTCCCTCTGCAGAAGCTGTCAGTGCCTTGCAAGTGCCAGGGTAATTGCAGCTCTTTGGGCAGGGGCCAGGGAGATGAACTCAGGGGATCTCAAGACATATAGCTGCCATGGCTTGCATGGCACATATTCACTGACAGCCACGGTCCCGCTGCCTGTTCCAGCAGCAGTGATCAAGCCTGGTGAGTGTGTCCTTATAGCTCAGACTCCAACAAGGTGAGGGAGACAGTGTCCAGGAGGAGAGGGCAGCTGGGGAACTGGGCGGGACAGCAGCTTTTCCCCCTTGCATCTCAGGACAGCTTTGTCTCAGCTGGTCTCCTTCCTGGGCAGAGAGAGGGACGGGGCAGGTGTAACAGCAGAGCCCCCCAGAGCAGGCGGGGGAGGGCGGTGGGTACTTGGCTGGAAGGGGGATGGACGTTGCCCAGGCTGTGCCCAGCCTGAGAGCAAGGGTTGCTTTTTTTCCTCCTGCTTTTGCCCCTTAAGATGTGAGACGAGATTTCCATCAACTCAAACCACTCAGCGCTGGACCCAGAGTTGAGATATTTTGATGTTTAGAGCTCACTGTTAACATGCAAACTCTTGAGCTGTGGCCCCTGTTTTCTGCACACACGTGGGCGCTCACACTCACATTGCTCCACTATTGCCTCACAGACCAATTCCACAATCTGGAAGGACCTGGAGAAATGGACAGGCGTGGGACCTAGTGGGGTTGTAATATTGTACATGCTTTTCTTTGCCACTAAAAGGCACAGCTTCAAAGCAACACTGAGTAAGAGTCCAGTCTTTGGGGGCGGGAGCAGCTTATCTTCAATTCCTGGCTCTGCCTCCTACAACCTGGGGGACCGGGGGCTCCTAACAGCGAGTCTCAGCCTCCCAGCGGTGAGCCGGGATTAGGACAGTATCACTCTGAATACTGAGCAGGGTGGCTGAATGTTGAAGAGGGTGACAGGCGGGTGCACTGCAGGTCTCTGGTAAATGGTGTCATGATGGTCTCACCTGCATGATGCTAGAGCCAGTATTCTGCAGCTAGACATACACACAGCTGGCAACAGCTGTCATCAAATTTCACCCCATCTCTTAGTAATTATGTGTTGATTTCCCATTCCATCTGATGGTGTTTTGAAGATTTTGTGGGATGGATCTGAATGACTTGGTGTATTTGTGTGTGTGTGTGTGTGTGTGTGTGAGAGAGAGAGAGAGAGTGTGTGTGTAAGAGAGACAGAGACAGAGACAGAAAGACTGCCTAGACCATGCCCACATTTCCCAGCCCACCAGTGATTTAATCCTAAGATACTTGTGAAAAATGAGACAGTACGTCCAAACATGATGTCTTATTCAACAAAGAAGGCTATTGATGTGTTTAGGAGTTTCTTCTTAGCAAAGATTTCCATAGTAGAGAAGAATAACCCCTTTACAACACAGATCAGTGTTTTTCTTTCATTTTTTTTTTGCTTTAGCTTTGCCTCTTAGACCTTAAAAGGCGGGAGTGGGGTCGGGGAGGGGACTGCTTTTTTAAAAACTTTATTGAAGTGTGGTTGATATACAGTATTAATTTCTGCTATACAGCAAAGTGATTCAGTTATATGTGTGTGTGTATAACTTTATAAATTATTTTCCATGCTGGTTTATCACAGGATATTAAATTTAGTTCTCTGTGCTATACAGTAGCATAAACAACAAGGTAGGACTAAAAACTGCCTCTGGGAATTCCCTGTCCAGTGGTTAAGATTCAGCACTTTCACTGCCAGGGCCCTGATTCAATCCCTGGTTGAGGGGCTAAGACCCTGCAAGCCGAGTGGTGCAGCGGAAAAAAAAAAATTGCCTTCTTAAAATTGGCTAGTAGGATTTGAATTACCCACTGATTGACTTAACATGTTGAGTAAACTTTAGTAGCAAAAGGGAAACCGATTTGATTTCAAGACTAAAGAATGAATTTATTTTTTAAAAAATCAGAAGTACATACCTTGGGTCACATCAGACCTAGGCTGCAATTTACTGGAACTGAGTGACCTTGAGAAGGTTAAAAAAAAATCTCTCTGGCTTATTTTCCATCCATGTAAAATAGGATAATAATATTCATCGGATAATGATCCTTGACACTGAACATTCAATATTAACTTGTCCCTATATGCAAAAGCTCATCAATAAATTGTATCTCCTGGTATATTCTCTGAATGAACTGTGAGCCACTTATTGGGAAGTGAGTTAAAAATACAGAAATTGGGGCTTCCCTTGTGACTCAGTGGTAAAGAATCTGCCTGCCAATGCAGGAGACACAGGTTTGATCCCTGATCTGGGAAGATCTCACATGCCACAGAGCAACTAAGCCTATGCATATTAAATTAAAAAAAAAAAAAAAAAAACAGGAGTTGGTGAAAAGAGAAAGTGAAAGTCATTCAGTGGTGTCCAACTCTTTAGGACTGTACAGTCCATGGAATTCTCCAGGCCAGAATACTGGAGTGGATAGCTGTTCCCTTCTCCAGGGGATCTTCCCAAGCCTGTGATCAATTCTGGGTCTCCTGCATTGCGGGCAGATTCTTCAGCTGAACCAACAGGGAAGCCCAAGAATACTGGAGTGGGTAGCCTATCCCTTCTCCAGTGGATCTTCCTAACCCAGGAGTTGAACCGGGGTCTCCGGCAATGCAGGCGGATTCTTTATCAGCTGAGCTACGAGGGAGGCTACAGAAATTGGTAGCTCTGTTAATTACTTCTGTCTTCCTAATCACTTCCAATTCTTTTCTCTCTCAAAGAATTCCCATTTGGGTGATTAGGCCTCTTCTAAGGCCATTTTTTGTTGCTTTTTTTTTTTTTTTTTAAACTGTCTTCATGTCAGTCTCTTTGAAGATTCAGGGTTTATTTCCAGCGCTGTTACAGCTGGTAGCTTTCTCAAACGTCACAGTCCCCGACTCCAAAGAGCAAGTCTAACCATGCTTGACTCACCAGCACTTGACCTGATCTTCACAATTCCATTTTCGTTTTCATATTTGTTTCTGCCCGATGCTTGCCCCTGTGGCACTTGGAACATGAAGACATTTTTTTCCCTTGTCCTTGCTGTCAGTTTAATGTTTTTTTTTCCCATAAAGAGACCCCCCTGAAGCACCAAGCAGCCAGTGGAAAAGGCAGAATCAAGAGACATCTTGAGTCCTATTGCAGAAACTTATCATGTGTAGTAAAGCGGGTAGAGACAGGACCCCTAGAACCTGCAGTCGTAGAAGCGTGCTGGACTGCAGCACACTGTGGTGGACTGTTTGGTATCTGGCCCCATGCAAGCACATTCAGGGATCAGCCAGAGTCTTGGATAGACATTCTGGCTTTGATTTATGGTCACACTTTTCTGGCTCTCTTTTTTTCTTTTCTTCCTTTTTTTTTTTTAACTTTGCAGCCTCTGTAGTTATCCTGTCATTTGGTTCTTTAGACCAATAGGATTATGGGGAATCTATTTGGGCTAGGCATGATGCTATAGCTACAGCCTGCCCTCAGGAAGAGTCATTTAAAAAAAGAAAGAAAAGGAAACCCGTGCTTCTTCCAAGTGTCCTCCCAGCAGGATTTGCCTGCTGTTGTTCACTCTTCAGTGAACTACTTCTGTTGTGGTTTAGTCGCTCAGTCATGTCCGACTCTTTTGTGACCCCATGGACTAGCCCGCCAGGCTCATCTGTCCGTGGGATTTCCCAGGCAAGAATACCGGGGTGGGTTGCCATTTCCTTCTCCAGGGCATCTTCCCAACCCAGAGATCTAACCCACATCTCCTGCATTGGCAGATGGTTCTTTACCACTGAGCCACCAGGGAAGCTGAACTAACTCTATAGATATTCATTTAAAAATACAATATAAATATAACAATATAAATATATGTGTGTATATATATATATCTTTTGTCCAGAGTCTATGATTGTTATTTGTAGAATTTTCCCAGCTGTTGACAGAAGCAGAAACTGTTCTTTGTCTTTTATTTTACTTATAGTGTTTCATGAAAACTTTCTTCTTTTTAACCTTTATATAGTTGATTTTTTCAATATTTTATTGTCTTTTGGTATTCAGTCATAGTTAGAAAGCCTTGCGCTATGTCCGGGTCATAGAGGAATTCACCTATAGTCTCTTGTACATAATAAATCTTTTAAAAGGTTTTGATCTTTCATCTGTTCTCATGCTCAGTTTGTCCGTCTATTATGCGAGTACGGGCTCCCCAGGCAGCGCCATGGTAAAGAACCCACTGCAATATAAGGTATATGTACTATATGTATTATATAATTATATGTATTATATCATACGTACGTTATATGAAAGAAAAGTAAAAGTTGCTCAGTCATGTCCAACTCCTTGTGACCCCATGGAATATACAGTCCATGGAATTCTCCAGGCCAGAATATTGGAGTGGGTAGCTGTTCCCTTCTCCAGGGTGTCTTCCCAACCCAGGGATCGAACCCAGGTCTCCCGCATTGGAGGCAGATTCTTTACCAGCTGAGCCACCGGGGAAGCCCATATATTATATATATGTATAATACATATATTATACATATATATTATATTATATTTTTTAATGAACATACAGTTAATTCAGCTTCCCTAATGGCTCAGTGGTGAAGAACCACCTGCCAATGCAGAAGATGTGGGTTAGATTCCTAGGTTGGGAAGATCCCCTGGAGAAGGAAATGGCAACGCATTCAGTATTCTTGTCTGGGAAATCCCATGGACAGAGGAGACTGGTGGGCTACGGTCCTTGGAGTTGCAAAGAATTGGACATGACTGAGCACACACACACACACACGTGAGTACAACGCTTTGTAATCAATTAGAGAGATTTTGAATTATGTTTTAACACCTGCTAGAACTACTCCATAGCCCGTCACACTTCTTTTATGCTCTTCCTACCTAATCTTGCATGTTACTTTCCTTGTAATTTAAAAAACCAACTCATTTGGTTCCAGAAAAAAAGCTTGTTGTTATTTTTACTAGGTCCATTAAATTTTAAAATTATCTTAGAACTGACTTTTTTAGAATGTTTAGAAAGCATGCAATGTCCTTTCGCTTGACTAGAATTACTTCGATATCCTAGTGGAGTGTTTAAATTTTTTTGCATTAGATTTTTCTGTTTTTGTTAAGTTTACCCCTAAAAAATAATAAATCTTCATTGGTTTTGTAAATAAAATTTCTCTTCCATTACATAATCTGATTGTTTTATGTGTATATGACTCATATATTAATTTTAAAGCTTTCTACCATGGGGCTTGGGGGAATCTTAGTTCCCTGACCAGGGATTGAACCCAGGCCCATTGAACAATGGGCAGTGAGAGGGCAGAGTCCTAACCACTGGACTGCCAGGGAATTCCCATAAATTATTTTATTATTTGAATTAGTTTCAACATGGATTCTCTAGGGTTTTCATGCTATACCATCATATCATATGCAAGAATAATTTTACTTCTTTTAAAATGCTTATGCTTATTTGCTTTCTGTTGTGTAATTATATTGACTTACACTTAGAGGACACTATGAATTATTAATTGAAATACTATCCCTTCTTGCTTTGTTTTGGCAATATTTTCCCTTCAGTAAAGTGCTAGTATGTAAATTCATAATCATGCCAAGGAGGTATCCATAAACTCATGTATCCTTGAGTGTTTTTTAAAAAAAAATCATGTGGTTGATTTTTGTCAAAGCGTTTTTTAACATCAATGAAGATAGTCATATGAATTTTCTTCTTAGATATATCAAGTGGATTTTATAATATCAAGATATATATATGGTGAATTTTGGTAATAAAATTACTTGCATTCCTTGTTTCACATGGCCATGGTATATTGTTTTCTTAGTGTCAGGTTTTCAGTATGATTTTTTTTTCCTTTGGTACATGTTTTATGAGAAAGAATGCTTTAAATTTCTAAACATAAGTGGCACATTTAGTCCTATACTTATTTTTACTGATTGCTAACACACATGCACACTTTTTGTGTGAATGGGTGTGAAAGAATGCACACCTAAAATATATGATTATCTCAGGGGAGAGAGGAATAAGACTAAAAATGAGAGACAGAGGACACAAATGAACTTTTTCCTCTCTATATCTTTGTAATTATTTTATTCCTTAATAGGAGGTGCACATATTAATTTAATAATTTGGGATAGTAGTTTTACTATATGTCTATACTAAATGTCTATATATTATCACAGATTCTTTTAAGTGCTGGAATCCCTGACACACGTATCCACAATACTATTTCTATCCTTTATTCATTTTTGTATGATTTCTATTTTATCTTCTTGTATGTTATATAGGTGTCTCCCACACTAGGCTCCCTCCCCTTTGGAACAATGATCCAGGTCATCTAAATTTTGTATATCTGTGCACTGACAACCTGTCCTGGCATATAGTAGATGTTTAAGAAGAGTTTTTTAAGTGAAATATGAGGGTTTATGCCTTGGAGTTTATGGCCTCAACACATACACTGAAGGATTTGGGTAATGGACTAAATAATGAACCATTTTGCATGGCTATGTGAGCATAAGCAGACATATGCCAAGATGGCTACTCTGAGTGGTAATTTTGAGCTCATTGCTGTGGACTCCTCTCCCCAGAATTGAAATCTCTATCCTCAGAAAGGGAGTTCCTTAGGGCCCAAGAGTCCCTATCAGATCTGGGAATAGTGGTGCAAATCTGTGATTAGTGCTATCACTCAGTTCTAACTTCATGACCCTCAGGTTCTTTTCTGAGCTGCTTCCTCCCATGATCTCGTGAGAATGATTTTTGGTGACTTGATCCTGAGGCTACTCTTCCTGGTCCAGATGGGGGTTGGGGTCCTGGGAAACAGCTTTCTGCTCTCAACTTACGCTTCTACATCTTGCACTGGCTGTGCCCTGAAGCCCATACACTTGATTCTCACCAACATGGCAGTGGCCAACTTTTTGGTTCTTCTCTTCAAGGGGATCCCCCAGATGATTTTTATCTGGGGAATGACAAATATCCTGGGCAACAGGGGGTGTAAACTTGTCTATTACATCCATAGACTAGCCCGAGGGCTTTCTCTATGCACCACTTGCCTCTTGAGCACTTTTCAGGCAATCACCATCAGCCCCAGAACTGGTGGGTGGATGAGGCTCAAGGACAGAGCTTGGAAGAACATCCTTTCTTCCTGCTTCCTGTGTTGGATCTCCAACCTGCTGATAAATGTCTTTGTCCCTATAAATTTAGAGGCTCATCGGCATACTCACAATTCAACCAAGCTACGGGATTATGGGCTGTGTTCTTCAAAAAATCCTGAAATGTCTAGTGCTGCAAAATACACAATTATCATGACTTTCCCAGATGTTGTGTTCATGGGACTCATGATTGGGGCCAGTGTTTACATGGTCCTTCTCCTGCATGAACACTACCAGCGAGTGAAGCATATTCACACCCTCAGAAACTGCCACAGCTTCTCTCCTGAGGCAAAAGCCGCTCAAACCGTCCTGCTTCTAGCAAGCACGTTCATTTTGTTTAACTTCACCAATTCTCTCCTTACAATCTATAATGTTTTTTCCAAGTCTCACCTCTGGGTGCAGCATGCTACCACCTTTCTAGCTGCATGTTATCCCTCCCTGAGCCCCCTGATATTGTTGCTTCGAGATCTCCAAGCACCAAGATTCTGTTCTTAAATGGTGAAAAGAAAAAATCCCAAATGACTAATGGCCCATTCACAACAGTTTTATCTCTTCTTCAAATAATCTGGTTATTCATTTATTCAAAGCAAAGATATATGGATGTCTAGCACATGACACATACACTCAAGATACTGGAATGTATCTTGATGATGATGGAAAGATTTAGAAGACATTGACTTAACTGTATAGAAGCTTTCAGCTTCATTAAGAAGGTAGACAAATAATCAAATGAATACAATACTGCATAGGTGTTAGTATTGATGCTTTGTGATTGTTTTTTCTTTGAAACAGTTGATGAAAGTGAAGTTGGATAGACACAATTTGAGGATACATCAAAAATTTGAACGGTTTACTAGGGCAATTATTCAGTTGGATTCAGGGTCTTCCCCTCCAGTTAAGACTCCATCTCCCAATGCAAGGGGCATAGATGGGTTCAATCTCTAGTTGGGGAACTAAATATTCCACATAATGCACAGTGTGGCCAAAATTAGTAAAAATAAAATGTTTAGCTTCAATAGAAAGTTGTGATACACAAAGCACAGGAGAGTATTACTTTTTACCTTTACACACAAGAAAAAAGTAATCCATAGATATTGTCACTGAGCAGTCTCATGTATTAGAATTATTACACAAAGACATTAAATCAGCTATTATAAATATAGTCAGGAAACTAAAAGAAACCATCTCTGAAAAACTGAAGGAAAGTATGACAGTGATGTTTCATGAAATGCAGGATATCAACAAAGAGATGATAATAAAAAAAAGAATTTACTAGAGGGGCTTCACAGCAGATTTCAGTTTTAGAAGACAGATTAGGTAAACATGAAGATCAGTCAGTAAAGATGTGAGAAACAGGGAAAAGTCAAAGAGAAAAAAGTGAAAAAGAAAAAGTAAACAGAGCCTCAGAAATTTATGGTACATTCTCAAGCATACCAACATATGCATAATGGAAGTCCTAGAAGCAGAGGAGAGAGAATAGTGGGCATAAAGAACATCTGAAAAAATAATGACAAAGGGAATTCCCAGTGGTTAGGACTCTGCACTTTCACTGCTGCAGGACTGGGTTGAGTCTTTAGTTGAAGAGCTAAGATCCTGCAAGCTACCCAGTGTGGGGAAAAAAAAAAAACAACTTCCAAATTTGATGAAAACAATCTACATATACAATCAGGTCAACAAACTCCAAATAGCATCAAATTATTTTCTTCCTCAAAGGTTTTAATTTCAGGATACTAAACAGTAAACTGGTTCTTTCCAGAGATGGGTACAAAATGAATTCTTATTGGATGAATGCTGAGAACATTTCTACAGTGATCTGAGATACGATAAATAGAAACTCTACTTTCTTCTCCAACTTCTACCACACAAAAAGCAAATCACTTCCAAATCAGTTACATATCATCCACAACCAGTCACCAGTAGCTTCTCACAAGTTTCTTATTATAAAAATGTTCTTACATATATAAAAGCTCATAATACCACAGACATCCATATACTATCATATAGATTCAATAAATGTTAAATTCTGCCATTTTATTTTGTATATATTTTCTAGCATCATGTATCTATCCATCTCCCTCTATCTTCTATCCAATTTAGTTCTTTGGGCTGAACTATTTTGAAAGTAAATTGCAGACATCAGGATCCTTAACCCCCAAATACCTCAATTCGAATCTCCTAATAATAAAAATATCATCCTACAAGCCACAGGTCTTCGTGATGCCAGTCTTTTGAGAGTGTGATATTGGGAAAGAAAGAGGACCAGAGGACATGCGCAAACTGAAAAAGAGAAGCCTAATTTCAATAAAAGTTTTAGCCAAGAAAGCCACAATGAGGCTTCCTGAATTCAAAAAGGCGACAAAACCAAATAAACCATGTAAGGCAACAACAGAGCCTTCATTATATTTGAAAATCATATGACCAGGTTCAGAATCAGGCCCCCACTATGTAAACTTCCATGTGGTTATTAGGTCTTGGGGCCGGACAACCACAGTCCTTTAGGTTGGTCAAATTTAAGACTGTAGTTCTCTAATGCCTATAGAATAAGACTAAAACAATTGAGTTCATCACTGAAGACCCAGCAGGCGAAAGAGGAGGAGGAAATGTGGTGGATCTTAGGATAGTACTCCCTCTCTTTTTAAGGATTTCTCTTTTGTAATATTTATTTATTTGGCTGCTCTAGGTCTTAGTTGTAGCCGTTGGGATCCATTTCTCTGGTGGTCCAAATGGCTAAGACTCCCTGCTCCCAATGCAGGGGGCCCTGGTTCATTTGTTGGTCAGGAAACTACGTCCTTCATGCCACAACTAAGACTCAACACAGTCAAATAAATTTTACAAAGGGGTGGGGGGCGGGGGTGCCATGAGAAAGAGTGGGTGCGGTCATTCTGCTTTAACCTAGCCTGTGATTGGTTTAGATCTCAGGTCAGGTCAGGTCAGCTGAAATGCTAGATGGAAGTGCCCAAGATGAAAAACATCAAAGAGAAAGAATCGCTTGGATTGGCACGTTGCCGGCCTGGTCAGCCCCAGTGTCCAACTCAGCTCTCAGTAGGTCACGTGATCCAGAACGGCGAGGCACTAGCCAAGATGGCAGCTCCCATCATAACGTAAGGACGTTGACGCAGCCATATTGCATGGCACTAATTTCCCCCAGGCGTCAGAAACCATCGCTCATTTCCAAAGCGGTCTGTAATGTGAGTGACAGCAGGGACCTGCCACTCACGTCAGCAGAAACGGAACTGTCGGAAGCTTGGCTTTCCCTAGCTTAAGGTCGCGGAATTGGCCTTTGACGTTACTTGAGATTTCTGCAAGCGGCTTTTAGAATCCCGCGTAGTGGAAAGTCTGTGGCTTGAGATGTGGTGTGTGGTGGGTACTCGTGGATGATTATTGTTTAAGGCATCCTAGGAGTTTGAAGGGCGTTGTGGGTGGTTTGGGCGGGCATCAGTCTTGGGGAGTGGGGTTGAGGAAGACACCAGAGACCGTTGCTGTTGACAGTGACAGGTCGGCTCCGGCTCGCACCTCTTGGCCACTAAGCCCCCAACCCCCAGGCAGTGGAGAGAGGCAATGGAAGAATCAGTGATCAAGGGGCCCTTCTGGGTGCTGTTGTTGAGGATAGGGCTTGGGGGTCGTTCATTGGAATACCTGTTGTTGGGGTTTGAGCTTCGGAGGGGCTAGTGCTCTGGATGAAAAGAAGTGTCTGGGGAACTGTGAATGGGTGCAACAGCCAAGTGCAGGGTGGGTAGCTGTGTGGGTATCCTTAAGAAAGGCTGAGAGGGGGTGGAGCATACAGACTGCAGGTGGACAGATATTTGGGTGTATACTGAGCACTGGGGTACTTTATTTCCCAACATTTTAGACTGAAGAATTTCAAGCATACAGGAAAATCAAAAGAATAGCAGAATATTCTGCAGTATAGCTGCCACTTAGACCCATGAATTGTTAAAATCAACAAAGGTCTGTCTGGTCAAGGCTGTGGTTTTTCCAGTAGTCATGTATGGATGTGAGAGTTGAACTGTGGTGTTGGAGAAGACTCTTGAGAGTCTCTTGGACTGCAAGGGGATCCAACCAGTCCATCCTAAAGAAAATCAGTCCTGAAAATTCATTGGAAGGACTGAGGTTGAAGCTGAAGCTCCAATACTTTGGCCACCTGATGCGAAGAGCTGACTCTTTTGAAAAGACCCTGATGCTGGGAGAGATTGAGGGCAGGAGAAGGGGACGACAGAGGATAAGATGGTTGGATGGCATCACTGACTCAGTGGAGTTTGAGTAGACTCCTGGAGTTGGTGATGGACAGGGAGGGCTGGCATGCTGCAGTCCATGGGGTTGCAAAGTCAGACACAACTGAGCAACTGAACTGAACTGCCGTAAATATATGTTTATGTGTGTGTGAGTTAGCCAGTGTACACGTGTGTTTGTAAGCACTTGAAATCAAATGAATCCTAGCTTTTTATGTCAGTTTTTCCACTGGTTTGTGTGACTTTAGATAAAGTATCAAGGTCTATAAGTCTGTTTTCCCATTTGAGTAAATCGATTTCTGCCTCCCCAGTCCTCCTGAGGGCTCCGTCTTCCTGACCTCCTGCCTGCATGCTCAGTCACTCAGTCATGTCACGAAGCCACGCAAAGCCACGAAGACCCAGAATAGCCAATAAATAAATAAGTTATTTTTTAAAAAAGCTAGTGCAGTTGACCCTTGAACAATGCAGCGTTTAGAGGTGCTGATCCCCTATGCATTTGGGAATCTGTATATAACTTGATTCCCTAAGAACTTAGCTACTAATAGATTTCTGTTGACCAGAAGCCTTACCAATAACAGTTGACTAACCACATATTTTTTTATGTTTTATATACTAGAGAAAAAAAAAGAGAAAAGGAAATGTTATTAAGAAAGTCATAAGGGGAAATTCCCTGGCAATCCAGTGGTTAGGATTCTTACCCTCTTACTGTTGAGAGCCTGGGTTCAATCCCTGTAAGATCCCACAAGCCAGGAAGTGTGGTCAAAACAAAACAAACAAAAACCACCTGTGATGATAGGCTGATACGCAGTTTCTCCAGCAATGAAAGAGAAACAAAGTTATAAATCAGAAAACTAACCCACTAATTTTATACTAAATATCACTCACCTTAGGCCTATGTAAGGGTAGTCTGTCCACTTCCAGCCTTACACGTGATATTCTGCATGATGAATACTTAGGCAATGATAATGGTGATGACATAAAAACATCTCACAGTTCTTGCTATCTCACTATTAGATAACTGACTGCTACTCAGAAACTATTACATACAGAATGGATAAACAAGGGCCTACTGTATAGCACGGGGAACTCTATTCAATATCCTGTGATAAACCATAGTGGAAAATATGAAAAAGAATGCATCTGTATATATAACTGAATCACTTTGTGTACAGCAGAAATTAATGCAACATTGTAAATCAGTTCTACTTCAGTAAAAAATAATTTTTTAATGCATCTTTAATCTTTAACAGAATAGAAGCGGGATGT